TTTAAACTTTTCAAAGAGTGTATAAAAGACTTCCAGTGGGTTAAAGTCCACTATTAAAAAATAACTAAAGCCATTGGGACAGAGGTGGCATAGAGTTTTCAGGTAAAAGTGTTTGCCACATCTACACATTTTAAGAACGAGATGTTCTAACGTTATTTAATTGTTTAGTCATGCAATTGGCAGTGCGTACACCATCACAAAAGAGCATGCATTTACTGAGATCAAATTAATATTGCAGCTCATGAAAAGACCGTTATTGCTATTAAGATGATGTGTGCAAATAATAAGATATATGTCAATATCATCTGTGCAATATCAGACAACACCAGTGAGAACTGCACAGATATTATCGTTAACTCGGTATCGTTCATCTCATTCAAGTGTGCGGGACTGGTGGGTGCATGCACATTTTTTGTTTGTTAGTTTTGATTAGTGTTGATTTCAAATGCGATAAATCTGTTAATATAAGACTTGTAGTAACGGTGCACATAACTGGTAGGTGCAACTAAATTTTGGCTGGTGTGTCTAAATTTTTGAAGTTAGGAGCAACGATGCTACCAAGGAAAAAGGTTAATTTCAAGCCCTGACAATGGTTAAATTAAGTGTAAATTGTGTCTTATTAGCATATTCATAAATACATGTATTCTAAATGAGGTAAAGAGAATAAAACAGAAATCTTTTACAATTAATGAATTTTTATAAATTGAACCCATTTTGATAATAGAGATGTGGCAAATACTTGTTTAACTATAGAAAGTAAGGCTCATTTAGGATCCCTGCATAAAAGCAAAATATATGGGGCACAGCTTACAAAAAGGCATTTATGTAAACCAGTAGAATTCTAAAAGCCGTGAAACCCTTGTAAATCTGAATTACTTTTTTTTCCACGTGTGAATTTCCGGTGAATTTACTGACAAGATGATTACTATACAATATCTAACTAGATTTTGCCTGTGAAAATTCACCAACCAATGGTAATTGTGACTAAAACACTGGGCCTACCAAAATCTATCACTAATAGAACTGTCATAGAGGTCTTTCTAACCATTTGACCTTATTGTAAAATGCAGAAGTGTGCTAATTTTTGTGATCTTTTTTAGAACTTCCTATTCTATGAGAGAAATTACTAGGAATAATAAACAGCAGAAAACAAATGTGTCCATGATTATACACACAAAGCAGAATAATACAATAAGAAAATATCAGTTTGCAACATCAAGCAGCATAACAAGGTGTTTTTTGCATCTAAAAATTAATGGAAGTGAATGAGACCGGAAGCCTCGAGCCAAAGAGATCCAAATGGCTGCGCCTGCTCATATGCAAAGAATAAGGTCAATAAGACATTACATATTTACATTTGAAGATTATATTCAAGTTTTAGAATTGAGCTTACAATGTCTGTAGTTTTTTTGCAATATAGTAATCTATCTATAACTGCATGTTACTAAACCTAAAAGGTCAGGGAACAATAGTTATATTGGCTTCATAAGTTATTAAACTACAAATTTTAAAAACGAACAAAATGATTGCCTCTATAAAGCTAAAAAGACTCTGTTTGAAAAGATTCTAGTTTCCTCAAGCATTTGTAAACATGTACACTCTGTATAAGAAGCAGAAGTGCTGAGTGTGCATGCTCGCACATTCAAAACCTAAAGTAAAAGCAAGCGTGCACTCAAAAGAGATTCCAGTACCTGCCATAGACATAGCAGCTCCCTGATGTGCGCATTATACAAAATATCATTATATTATATTACATCCACCCCCTTCCCCTCAAAGAGAGCATGAGAGAAAAAAAAATCCAATTTTACATCAGCCAAATTCCGAGATCTGTATTTACACAGGAAAAAAAACACACATCCCTGTTTCCCTGTTTCTATAGGAAAGCATGCTGCATTCATCACATTTCATGAGGCCTTTCATACATCAGCCTCTTTCACAAGTATGACAAACAGTATGGGTGCCTGCACACCATTATTAACAGCACTGTAATAAAGGATTTCTCAGAAGCACTGGAGGATGGGACAAATCTGGCACACTTTCTCTGCAGGACGTCCTCCCTGCAGTCAGAGGCCTTATCGCTCCACTACAGATACAATCACAGAGACCATCACTTATTTCACAGAGAGTATTAGTGGTCTAGAGGAGCACACAAGGGCTGATACAGACACACAAAAACAGTGTCCATGTATGTATGTCTAAATTTATAAGAATATGTGAAGTATGTCTGATAATATCTTTTCTTATGGAGAAAGTCTTATTTGTTTTGTTTCAGCAAGAATAAAAGCAGTTATTAATTTTTTAAAAAACATTTTTGTAACAAAATTATTAGCCCCTTTAAGCTAATTTTTTTTTGATAGTCTACAGAACAAACCATCATTATACAATAACTTGCCTAATTCCCCTAACCTGCCTAGTTTACCTTATTAATCTAGTTAAGCCTTTAAATGTCACTTTAAGCTGTATAGAAGTGTCTTAAAAAATATCAAGTAAAATGTTATTTACAGTCATCATGTCAAAGATAAAATAAATCTGTTATTAGAAATAAGTTTTTAAAACTATTATGCTTAGAAATGTGCTGAAACAATCTTCCCTCCATTAAACAGAAATTGGTGAAAAAAAATAAACAGGGGCGCTAATAATTCTGACTTCAACTGTGTGTGTGTGTGTGTGTGTGTGTGTGTGTGTGTGTGTGTGTGTATATATATATATATATATATATATATATATATATATATATATATATATATACATACATATACATATATATATAAATCATGTGTGTTATACATTTATGTTTTTTTAGGACAGATGAATAGTATATGTTGTGTATATATATACACATACACAGCAACCTCTGAGCACTGTAAGAAATAAATGCACAGGACAGAAGGGAAAAACTGAAAAAGGCAAGGTGAGGCCATTAACCTTGAACAGAAAAACAGTGCGGGTACATTGACCATGGAGGGGAAAAACGACTCCTGCTCAGTGTTTATTAGGTGAGACCCTGCACTTAAAAAGACCACAGCAAAAAAAAGAAAAAAAAAGAAAAAAAAAAACAATTCACTAGACAGTGATTTATAACCTGTGTTGTACAGTTCAGAGCGAACAAATCTAAATGCAACCGATCGGACCTAAATACAACTGTAACTGCTGCCTTATCACTGCTGTTTATAGACAGGAATATATGCTTTTGTTCAAGTTTAGTTAATAATTATTAATGAGTTGAAGCTATTACTACCAACAGCTATATACACTACCTGACAAAAGTCTGGTCATTTTTCAAGTTTTAGGATAATAACTGACAAATAATAACTTGACTTAGTTGATTATTTAGTATCAGAAGTGGCTAATATGAAAGGCAAATGCCCCTAGATTATGCTTATTTTACCCAAATAAAAGATGATCAAGCCTTGATTTTTAATTATTTTGATTAGGACATTAAGGTCTGATTTTGCTTAGACAAAAGTATTAACAGAAAATAATGTACAGTATAAAATATAAATGCATGGTGCAGTGGAAAAAGAATTAATATTATGCATGAACTTAGAGGAATGCATCCATACATCTCTGCAATGACTCAAATCACTTATTAATAAAGTCATCTGTAATGGCAAAAAAAGCATCTTTCATCTTACCCTTGACATGCTCAATAAGGATCATTCATGTCTGGTGACTGGGCTGGCCAGCCCTGGAGCACCTAGACCTTTTTTTTTTTTTGCTTTCAGGAACTTTGATGTGAAGGCTGAAGTGTGAGAAGCTCACCTTATGTTTACGTTCATAATATTTATTTTATTTGCTAATTAATAACCTCAAGTGGAACTCTGAATCGGCGTCTCATTTTGGAGTCTGATACTGTCCACTGTAGGTCACATTTCGGTTGCAGATGAATACTTTGTTAGCCTTCCTGACTGAATGAATAACATACGTGGCAAGGCAACCCAGCTAAAATATAATTGATTAAAACTGACATTGGGTTAAATGTTGTTTTAAATGACCAAAACAAAGACAGCCGTTCCAGCACATAAAGCACATTTTCAAAGCTGACTATTTGACTTTAGCATTGTTTTTTAGTTAAACAAGTATATTCACTTAGCATGTTTGTAAATATCTGCAAACATATGCATTTTATGCTTTAGAAAAGTCAAAAACTTATATACAGACATATATAAATCACTTTAGATCCGGTTTGCCCAAATGTAATACTGGAGGGCTGGTTTAGATCAAATTCCAAATAGACACACACACAAGCCAGATAATCAAGCTCTTACTAGGAATACTAAAAACTTTGTTTAAAAAAAAGCTAAACTAAACTGGAGCTAAACTCTACAGAATATCAGCCCTCTGGGATAGTTTGGGCATCTCTGCTTTAGATAAAAATAATCTGTTTTAAAGTTTTTTGACCCAAGTTTTTAGGTTTTAACAATGTGTCACTATTTCAGTTTGCTTTTTAATCTCATGTATTATAAGATTATTAAGATGTAATAGTGTCTCAGATTTAAACTTCAGTCCTAAAATTACATTAGAGTGATTTAACTGACTTATTACTATGAACTGATTAAAATGACTAGAAAATAGATTTAAACGCAAACATTTAAAGTGTCATTTTGTATATAAATATGTGAAATTGTAAGTAAAAGTTGCTGTTTATCACTATGTACAGTTATTATTAGTTATTAAATATTACTCAGTGCTTGTTTTTTTACTGTATATTGTTTAGAAAATAATTTAGATCTACAGTACTTGCAAATGTTTGAAGTGATGATTCACCTGCTCCATCTTGTTGTGTACAGTTCTTATGTATGCCTTATATTACGTCAAGTCAGCACTGCAGGCATGTAACCCCTCTTTAAAGAGTGTGTTATGACAAATGCTCTTCAAATCAATAATGTAATCAACACCCATCTCTTCCTCTGTCTGCTCAGACAATACATTGAGCTAGAGCTGAGTCAGAATTATTGACCAACACACAACCACCCGACACGACGACCTGAACTACTGACCTTTATCTGGATGATTTAGGACCATGATCCTTCTGTGGGCTTCCCGTACCTTTGTCTTAGTGCTGGTCGGACTGCGCAAAACAAGAAAACAGAGGATTTTAGAAAAGGTGCACACTGACATCTGGTGGCCAAAGAGTGAACAGATTTTTTTTTTTGCACTTTTCATCAGCATGTGCGGTCTGTCTCCATCACTGCACACATAAGCTGGAAATACTCAATCTGTACATTCCCTAAAATTCCCCAAATTAGTGGGGGAAAAACTACAGAACTAAAGAAAAAAGTGTCACCCATGTTTTTTTTTTTAAATTATTTTACTTTGAGTGACAAATTTAAAAACACCATTTGACAAAATGACAAAAGGAAAAAGAAACAATTTTTAAAAATTTTTTTACATGCATTTGAATTAACTTTAAATGAGAAATTAACAAAACGTTAATTTAAAATTTCTTAATCTTATAGTCATTTCAACTAATATAGATCAACTAGAAGTTAAACAAATACATGTCAGACATATATTATATTGACAAATATGGATATTTTTAGCTCCATCTTTTGAAAGACTTATTATTTAAGCCTTAGTGTTGATTGACATTAATATTATGTAATATTATGTGGAAATATACCCAAATATACTATAAATACCTAAATATACCTTTTAATTTTTACAGCCAAACTTCAGATTGTGACAAATGCAAGCATGAAATAAATAAATAAATGAATGATTAAATAAACAAATAAATAAATGACTGAATAAATAAATGAATGAAAATATAAATGACTGAATAAATGACTGAATGAAGAGTAAAATGAATACATAAATTAATAAATACATGAGTTGAATAAATGAATGAATGAAATTAAATTAATAAGTAAATGTATAAATAAATGACTGAATAAATGAATGAATGAACGGAATGAATAAATGACTGAATAAAGGAATTAATGAAATTACTAAATGAATAAATGATTTGAATTAATGAATGAAATTAATAAATGAATGAATAAATACATGAATAAATGAAATTACTAAATGAATAAATTAATTAATTAATAAAATGATTGAATAAACTAATAAATGAATGAAATAAATGAATTAAAAAATTACTGAATAAATAAGTTAAATAATAAATAAATGACTGAATAAGGCAGCACAATGGTGCAGTAGGTAGCACGATCGCTTCACAGCAAGAAGGTTGCTGGTTCGAGCTTCGGCTGTGTCAGTTGGCATTTCTGTGTATAGTTTGCATGTTCTCCCCATGTTGGCGTGGGTTTCCTCCGTTTGCTCCAGTTTCTCCGCAGTCCAAAGACATGTGGTATAGGTGAATTGAATAAGCTTAATTGTCAGCAGTGTATGTGTGTGAATGAGAGTGTATGGGTGTTTCCCAGTGGCCGGTTGCAGCTGGAAGGGCATCAGCTGCGTAAAAACAAATGCTCGATAAGTTGGCGGTTCATTCCGCTGTGGTAACCCCTGATTAATAAAAGCCGAAAAGAAACTGTATGAATGAATGACTAAAATAATGCAGAAAATAAATTAATAAATGACTGAATGAATGAATAAACTAACTAATAAATAAATGAATAAATAAATAACTGAAAATATGAATTAACTAATTGAATAAATAAATTAAAACATAAATGACTGTACTAATAAAAAAATGACTGAATGAATGAATGAATAATTGAATGAATGAATGAATGAAATAATGCATGAAATAAACAAATAAAAAATTTAAAAATGACAGAATGAATGAAATGTATAAATAAATAACTGAATAAATAAATTAATGAAATGAATAAATAAATAAATGAAAACATAAATGACTGAATGAATGAATGAATGAATAAATAAATAAATGACTGTTCGAATGAATAAATGAAATTAAATAAAAAATGAATGAATGAATGAATGAATGAATGAATTGAAGAATAAATTAAATAAATATTATTATATACTGATTAAATTAATAAATAAATTAACTAATAATAAATGCCTGAATTAAGAGATAAATGTAAGAATAAATAAAATAATGCATTAAATAAACAAATAAATACTTGAATAAATAAATGACTGAGTGAATGAAATGAATAAATAAATAAATTTAACCACAAATGACTGAATAAATGAACGAATGAAATGAATAAATAAATGACAATGAATGAAATCAATCAATAAATAATTGACTGAATAAATAAATAAAGATCAAAAATATTTCGTCTTTCTTTTCTTTTTCATCCATTTTAAATCTGTTAAACAAGTCTGTTTAAAACAAATAAAATGTCTTGTAACTTTAATTCTTGTTTATGTAAAGCAATTTGTAAAGCACATCTACAATTTTGTATGAAAAGAGCTATATAAATAAACTTGACTTGCCAATAGATAAATAAATGAATATTCTACAGCCAGGTTACAGTAGTAATATATCCACACTTTTTAATAAAGCTCCAATAATTAATAGCAGTTATTATATTCGTTAACATTAACTAAGAATGACCAATATTTGTACACAACATAATAATCATTGTTCAACATTGACCATTATTAAAATGCAAAGTTGTGCTTGTTAACATTAGTTTATGCACTGTGAGTTAACAACAACCAAGAATTAATTTATTGACTTTATTTTCACTTTATAACGTTAATCATTTGTTCATGTTAATAAAAACTCAAACATTAACTAATGGAAAGTTATTGAAAAATGTTACCAGTAATATTTATTTTTAAAAACACCCATTGACATTTCAGAATTTCTTAACCTTAAACATTATACATGTTAAACATTTTATTCCATATGAAAGCTTGAGTTATGGTCTGAAGGCAGGTGGTTTTAGGCTAGTTGGCTTCACAATGCATCCTTACTGGAAGATAAATAAATGTCTTCCTGGCCTACAGCTTTCAGGCTTTGCATCTGAGTCACAGCCGAATAGCCAGAAGTGATGATTAAAAGATACATTAATGCTCAGAAGCGCTCATTCCTACCAACCAACCCTCCTCTAAAGTCTCAAATTATCTGCACGAGTGGGCGCTCGAGAAGGGCCAGAGCAACTAATTAAAACACTGTGATGATTCCAGAATGCGATGACGAATCCGTCAGGCAAAGCTGTGTTTGTGGGAAGAGTCAGTATCTCCGGCAAATACGTATACGTGAGGCAGTCGAGAGACAAAACTGCACTTATTTCATTCATTTAAAGGGAAACATCCTGTTAATTTGGTCACCCTCATATCATTTAAGATCCACATGACATTTTTTCTCAAGTAGAGCAATAAAAAAAAATGTATTAATACATATTCATCTAAATGAATTAGATGAATATGTAGTCATAGGTGATTCGTATAATGGCAGTCAATGGTTTGTTGGATTAAAAATGAAGATGTTCTTAAAGGTCCAAATCGATAGGCAGGTTGATGCACTGAGGTCTTACACTGTTTCCAAACAACATATGATGCCTCAACGTGTGACAAAAATGATCCTTTCTATGTTAAAAGTTGTTTTTGTTCTAACCATCTGCAACAGCAATGTTCAAAATTCTATTTCTGCGACATCGTGACAAAACAACAGTATAAACTAGTATGACAAGCCCATTTCACACAGCGATACCGGTAAATATCTGGAAAATTTCCAGAACGACTTTACCGGTATATTCAAAAAAGCGCTGTTTACACAGGCGAGGACGTTACGGAAATTTTTCCGGATAAGAGCATTCACACATCCATTCCAAAATACCGGTAAATTCTGACATCATTCACCACAAATGAGCTTTAAACGGCTGCGCTTGTATTTGTAAACATTTGACTACATTACAAACTTTGTGGATGATCAATATTGTGAACAACTTTCGCAGGATCACTTTCGCATTTCGAGATGTTCATAATATGTGCGTGTGCAGGCGCTCACAGGCTGTTTCACAGGCACACGCAAAGCTTGAAGGTAAACAAACAACGGCTTATCATAAGCATCTCATCGATGATTATGTACACAGTTGGCATTAAGAAGAACATATAAACGTGATCTGACTAATTTCTAGCTGCTAAATGTGTCTGGAAAAATATTCAAAGGCTTTTATTCTCATAAACCGCGCGGACGTAAATGCGTCTGACTGTTGTGATTGGCTAAAGCAGACGTCTCACGTCAGCACGTTCTAGACGTGCACGCGCTTATTCCGGCAATCTTCCTTCTGCATTCACACAGCGCAGCATTCCGGCAAATTGCCGGTAATGTTACAACTTCTCTTTCCGGAAAATAGCCATGCAGAACGAATTTACCGGTATTTTCAAAAAGGACCTGTTCACACATACAACCTTTCCGGAAAATTGCCGGTAATTTTCCGGAAAGGTCTGTATGTGTGAAAGGGGCTATTGATCACCTCAGGGACAGATTATGTGCTTTACTCAGTGTTAAATGCTACCAATGTGCATTTAAATGTCATTATATCTGAGACTTATTGCTCTACTACTGAAAGCAGCTGATAGTTCACTGCCATCTGGCAGAACTACTGATAGTTCACCTCAGACTTTGAAAATAAAATAACTAGTTGAAGGTTTGCACTAACTACTGCGCCACTGCATCGCCACAGGTGTTATTATATTACATTTATTATATCAGTTTTCAATGTCACAAGATCCTACAGAAATCATTCAAATATGCTAATTTAATACAGGATGCTTCATAGCTTTGTTGTTTTCGGCATACTAAAAATAATACATAAAAGACATTTGCCTGTCACTTTTGATCAATTTGATAGATTTTTGATTAACTTTTGTGCATTTTAACAAACGCTCATCTTTTTCATTGTGTTTTTTGTGATTATTTTGTTAATGCAAACAGCACAAATCTTTGCAAAAAAAAATGTCTTTTGATTTAACTTTTCTAATTTCATATAAATTTATTTTTTTAAAACAAATTGATCTTCTTGGAACTTTCAAGACAAAAATGGCCCCAAAGAAATGTACTAAAACTGCCGTATTTAATCCCAGTGCCAATTAAAGAGCTAGTTGCCAAGTATGTGAAGTAGCAGGCAAGGCTTTTAAATTGTAATTATTGAAAATAAAATGCAAAACATTTTGGCACATTTTTCAGGTTTGGCTAGCTCCACCTATAGTATTTATAATTGGGGCTGATGCTGGTTAAAAAAAAACAATGTATACATGGAGGTGAAAATGTCAAAAAATATTACACCTGGATTTTTTTAATGATTGTTTTCGTGACACATTTTTTTGCAACTTTTTATAACACCTAAGAGTTAACATAAGTGCATTTCAAAATAAACTATCCTACATAACTTAATAATGCTAAAAGTGATATTAAATGTGTGCCAAGAGATCAAAGAATATGAAAGCAAACAGCAACACTACTGAGGCCAGTTATTTCAGCTGCAACTGACAGAAAAGTAAATCTGAAAACAGATGAGTCCAGAATAATAAAAATGATTAACCTCAAATCAGAACAGTTTTATGAGGTTGACCGAGTTCATACTGGTCACATCCAAGAAATATTGGTTCCAGTCTGGTTTGGTTGTATGAAAACATTAGTCTGGTTTGATTGACAACACAAAGACATGAGCCACATGTTTATGACGCAAGTGCCGCCACACAGGATGTGATGCGTGTGCGGTGTGAGTCACACCTGGTGTGGGACCTTGTGAACTTGAAGGGGAAATTTGTAGCGAAATATACCCTCCAAGGAGGATGAGGAGGAGGGTGGTCCACCAAAAGCAGATTACAAAGTTAAAAGACGGCTGAGAATTTTTCCCATTAGACGTTACAGGATCAAAGCCGTGACGACAGGACATGACAACCAACTGCAGACCAAAAGAATTGCCCCCAGACTTAACCGCAAGCTCTTCTGGGAAGTTTAGTGATGCAGTGTGTGTATATACTGTAAAACACCTTTGTTTTCTTCCATGACAACTCATAATGAGAGAATACAGTAAGAGGAATTGCAGTGATTTAGGGCTTTTTGTTTAGCACGCAATTACCTGATCCCTAGAATGAGGCTGGCTTCCCGTCTGGTCATCTTCTGCTCAAATCCACCTTTGTAATATGCGGAAAATGACTGGGGAAAGAAAAGAATAGTGTTGAAAACAATAGTCCAGATTCAAAGTCAAGTTCTGTCAACAGCATATCTGTGGTAAAATGTCAATTACCAGAATAAAAGTGATTTCCTCCTCGCTTTTAAACAGAGTGAGCGATAACACACACACAGAATTCTACAACCTCGGGTTATGAAACTAGGATCATAGAATCATTTGTGAACTTTCAATCTTCCAATTTGGTTGTCATGATACACACAAATAGACATGATGAAGCATAGACATTACGTTGGTAATCCGTAATCAGATGTCCATTCACCCAGAAAAGTAGTCCCAGCTGAAAACCATTCCACCATCAACAAGGCTCAAATTATAAACAGGGTTTAGGCGAATAACTGCTTCAAGTGCTTTAACAAAAATATAGGCTTCGGATTTCTAAATAATCTTCAGGAAAAATAGAGAAGAGGCAACATCAGCTTTTACAGTAATCAATATTGTGCCCCAAATGTTAAAACGTTCCATTAACCACAATATGACATGTCTGAAGGGCGATGTGTACTCTCAATATTAAAGGGATGCTTCACATAAAAATTCAAGTTTACTCACTATTTACTCAAGTGGTTCTAAACATTTATGAAAAACGTTCTTCTGAAAAAGCTCGAAACCTGCAACCACTGACTTTCATAGTAGGAGACATAAATACTGTAAATGTCAATTATTACAGGTTTCCAACATTTGTCAAAGAGTTTTATTGTGTGTTTAACAGAAGGGAGAGTAATTAAATTAAATTACACCCTTTAATTGAACTTTTTTTTACCTTTTTTTTGATATACCTTTTTTACCTTAATGTGAAAATGGAGGTTTTAATTATAAGGTTCAACTTTACTGGAGAATCTGACTTGCACTAGTGTCAAATTAGTCAAAAGCAGTAAAATGATGTAAGTTTGTTGTAATTGACTACTAAAAAAAGCATTTGCAGAGCAGTAGTCACATCGCAGAACATGCATTGTTGAGTTGGGATTTCTGTATAGTTGAGCAAAAGCGACATTTCAGAACACATGAGATTGATGGAGTCACTGCTGAGTTAAACTATAATGGAGTGCAAGCTAATATTTAACATTTTAAGGCCTGACAGAGTTTTCAGCATTCAGCAACATGACATTTTACCAATTGAAGATTTAAAAAAAGACAGATTTTATTACTTTTTATTCTTTAGCAAAGACTTTTCAGTGTAATTTTTACATTTACAAAATTAAAACTGTTTATTTCACAGCCATTGTATTTATCTGTTTTCGACCTTTTATGCATGTTTCACTTCCATACAGAATCATCCCAATCAACCAAAATAAATAAATTTAGTAACAAATTTAGGGACCAATTCCCACTATTACCTAATGTAGTTACTTGTTAGCACGTGATATTAAGACATTGGCTGCTTATTATTACTTTTAAACTACCTAACCTGCATGATCTTATTGTACATCCCTAACTCATACCAATACCTAAACTACCCTAATAATTGATAACAAAGAGCAAATTAGGAATTGTTTGAAGCAAAAGTTAATTGTCTGCTAATAGTGAGAATTGAACCTTAGAATAAACTATTACCATACATGCTGTGCTATTCAACTAATTTTGTGTAATTCTATAGATATATCACAACATATAAATCACAGAAAAAATAAATATCGTGCAGCCCTACTTGCCATGTTCTGCTTTGACTATTTATTAGTCAAATTACGCACATTCATTTAGGTGTTGTCATAGAAATCTAGCTGGAAGATGGACAAAATTAGTACACTAAAGATTTTTATTTATGAAATACTTTAATTTCAGCATTGCAATAAAGGCTAAGCTTCACTTTTTTGAGGTTACAGATTCTTCAGTAAAAAACAGAGACGTGTTTTGTTTATACACTTTATTACAGTAACGAACCAAATCTATGGCTTTTATGACAATTAATTTTAATTTTTAAGACCTAATCTTTAGGATATTTTTTGTGATACCTTGAACCATTACATTTAAGATAACTACAGCTATTCAAGAAAGTCTTTAAAAAATGTCAACATGGGGAAAAAAAGAAAACAGCACACAGGTTAGGAATGCATGTAGTCACGAGGGTGAGTAAACAATGCCAGAATTTTCATTGTTTTTTTTTTTTTGTTTTTTGCTGAACTAATTAAAATTCCATTACAGGATAACATTGGTCTGTGGCTCCTTCAGAAATTGAACATCCTGGAGAATTTCAGACGGGTTGAGTAAAAACATGTGTTCATTCAGAGAGCGAGGAAGGTCAGAGTGTTCTGTCCGGTCTCGGCCCAAAACATGCCACTTAATCACACTCATCCATAATATGATTCACCAAAACATGGAATCATAGGATTAATAACTGTAATAATGATCTACAACAAGAGTGTTCAGCAGCGAACCTGCTGAAATACTCAGAGCTTATAGTATTTTCAGAGTGCACACAGGTGGACAAGCTTGAGTCAAAACACTGGGAACCTGCCCCAGCCACACAACCCTGGAGGATTAAGAGGAACGCGAATAAACCAGGTTTTTAATACCCCTTCAAAAACAAGAGGCACAGCGTGAACTACAGTAAGACTGGATGAATCAGTTCTCTAACCTTGAGCAAAAAGTTTAATATGCCAAAAAATAAGCAAACAAGCACCTTAAGATGTAGAAATGAACATGGAGACATCTACATTTATTTGCCACAAACTATCACTTACTGAAATAGAATCTGTGCTATGCTGGAACTTTTCAAAATGGGAATACCGATCAATTCACAGGGTGCTACATCACACTAACAATCGCATATTGTGGTTTTTGGTACAAGGTATGCTTAAACCAAATTTAAATAATTTAACGATAATGTGTAAACAGTAGAGCAATTTAAATATTTGGGTTTATGGCTGGATTCTGAACTTTCTTTTAAACGCAATGATTATAAACTTGTAAAGAAAATCCTTAAAATTAAGCTTTGGTTGCCAGAATTTTACCATTAAAAATGCGGTAGCCACTGTTAACAAAAAGTTAATTTTTTATAATAAACAACAGCATTTCATTCATTTAAAGTGTTATACACCAATGTTTTGATGAAATGACATCTACACGTTGTATCTTTACTTACTTTAAGAAAAACAACTACAGTATAAGCATGTCAGGATGAGATCAAAATAAAGTAATGCAATACACATTATTTATCTAAATTACTTGTAACATAACTACGTTCATAAATTATTAGAAAAAAAAAGAACCATAATAATGTCAACGAAAAGCATAAAAAGTGTCATGCAGGGAATTCTGTAAAAGTTTTTAAAAATTTACAGTGTTTTCTTCATAAGATTAGTTTTCTAACCAGTGTTTGTATAAATCTACCCTCAATATTTGCTTTGCAACTTATATTACCATTTTTTTATTATGCAGTTGTAGTTCATCACAATACAACCAAAGCTAATCTGTTCCATCTCACTATAACCTACTGTATAATAAATTGTGTAGATTTGTTACTGTACCACTATCAAGTACTTAAATGGTTTTTACACAATTTTAAAAGGCACATTCACTGGATACAATTAATATATATTTTTAATTATACACTGTAGCTATCCTACTCATATACGTCAACATTTGATATATTCATCTTCATATCAATTAAGACTAGGGCTGCTCAATATCGTTTCAGCATTGATATCGCAATGTGATCATTCGCAATAGACACAAAGCAGGATACGTAATGTTCAGTTTAAATTATAATTTATCATTTGCTAGTGTTTTTGATGCCTGTGATTGTATAATGATTTTAAAAGCATATAGGTATAAGAAATTTTACCTTTTTTTACTTAACTACAAATAATTGCATTGAATTATTTACATTTTTATTATTCAGTTACTGACTAGGGAAACAGTAAAACACTTTTTTATTACAATTGTATCTTTTTCTTGAATGTATATCCAGATTGCCATGCATGAGAATACTCACAACACATGCAAATAAAGAAATGTACTGTAAATAGCACAGACCACAACTTAATGTGTCAGGGGACCCCAAAAGCTTTAGATTTTTTTTATTAGATTTTATGGAGATGCACTCCCACTACAGAATCAGCCCAGTTGATCTAACAATAGGATTTTTTCCAAATAGAGATAATTGAAGCATCTTCTTTTATAATTGTACTGACATGTGGCTATGGTGATGAAGTAAAGCTGAAGTAAATCGCTGTAATTTATTACAAAGATGCACGGTTTTAAAAACATCATAAACTTGTAAAACTCACTCTTGTTCACATTTGATGATGATTAATGATCCTAGCAAACTGAACAGATCTTTTATTCCCAATTGCTTTGCACACATCCTGTCTTGTTAATATGATTATACACGTTACTACTGAGAGATGTTGATATGCAGCTGTCAATCAATTCGGGAAAACTGCACTCCTAAGTCAAGTTGCGGTCGGCCTTAAAACAGGAAGGATTTGGATCCTGTTTTAACTTCAGGAAATGTAAAAAAATAGACTTATTATGTTTATATCACCTCAACATGATTGTGGACACACTCTACCAACACACAGTTCTGTCCAAACAGCTTAAAAAAGATGATTTCCATCATAGGTGCTCTTTAATTCTTATGGTGAAATTGTATTCATATCGAAATATATCTATATCTATCTATGTCTATCAACACACACACACACACACACACACACACACACACACACACACACACACACATATATATAAGTATGCGTGTGTGTGTGTGTGTGTGTGTGTGTGTGTGTGTGTGTGTATGTATGTATGTGTATATATATATATATATATGTATGTATGTATATATATATATATATATATATATATATATATATATATATATATATATATATATATATATATATATATATATATATATATCGTATATATACTGTATATTTCTCGCAAAAAAAATAGCAATGTTACATTTTTGCATGTTACATTCAAGCATCCTTAATTAAAACATTCTTTTCATTATTTTTTCTTTACTCTATTAGATAAGAAAGCATTTAGGTGATCTGCTGATGGTTGATGCACAATCTGTAACCTTATTTTATATGTTTAATACAGGTTTATTTTCTATTTTTGCATCTTGCAGCTTGTAATAACTTTAGATAATGTATTTGTGTTACCATTCATTAATGCTAGGTAAAGATAAATACTAAAGAGATAAATAATAAAGTTCACCAAAAAAATAATGGTTTTCTCACCCCCAAGTGGCTACAAGTTTCTTTATTCCGCTGAAGAAGATATTTTAAAGAAAGCTAAAAACCTGTACCTATTGACTTCCATAATATGAAAAACAAATTGGTTACAGGTTTTCAGCTTTCTTCAAAATATCGTCTTTGTGCTCAGCAGAAGAAATAACCTTATAATAGTTTAAATAAAAAGTTAAGGGTTTGTAAATGACGACAGAATTAAACATTTTGGGTGAACTATCCCTTTAACCTTAATGTGTAATGTGTTATTATTGTATGTTGTGATTTTTATTCCAATTTAGTTATATATGTGTGTTACGTTTATTTAATTTTGTATATACACCACCTGAAAAAAGTCTTGTCATCGATCCCAGTTGTAAGAGTAACAAGTAATAACTTGACTTCTAGTTGATCATTTGGAAAAGTGGCAAACAGTAGATTTTTCTGACGAATCATCTGTTGAACTGCATCCCAATAATCACAGATACTGCAGATGACCTATTGAAACCCGCATGAACCCAAGATTCTCATAAAAATCAGTCAAGTTTGGTAAAAGAAAAATCATGGTTTGGGGTTACATTCAGTATGGGAGTGTGCAACAGATCTGAGTGGATAGCAACATCAACAGCCAATGGTGTGAGATATCAAGACATTTGTGCTGCCTATTACATTACAAACCACAAAAAAGGGCAAATTCTTTAGCATGAAATTATTTAGCAGCACTTCCTCTTATACTTTAGCCTCATCAATCAAAGTTCCTAAAAGAAAAGAAGGTCAATGTGCCCCAGGATTGACCAGCCCAGTCACCAGAAATAAACTAATGTTGAGCATGTCTGAGGTAAGATGAAAGAGGAGGCATTAAAGATGAACCCAAAGAATCTTGAAGAACTCTGGGAGTCCTGCAAGAACGCTTCCTTTACCATTCCAGATGACTTTATTAATAAGTTGTTTGGGTCATTGCAGAGATGTATGGATGCAGTCCTCCAAGCTTATGGGAGTCATACACAATATTAATTCTTTTTTCACTGCACCATGACTTTATATTCTATACTGTACTCTATTTCTGTTAAGTGTCAAGACTTTTGTCTAAGCAAAGTCAGACCTTACTGTCCAAATTAAATATTTAAAAATCAAGGCATGATCAAATTTTATTTTGGTAAAATAAGCATAATATAGAGGCCTTTGCCGTTCATATAAACCTATTTAGATACCAAAAGATCAACTTAAAGTCAAGGTATTATTTGTTGCTTCTAAAACTTGGATAGGTGACAAACATTTTTCAGGTAGTGTTTGTAGAGAGCCCTTTAAAAATGAGCTGTAACAAAAAAAAACAAAAAAAAACTTAATAAACACTTACCGAAGAGGGGAACTTCTTTGCAGTTTCGGTAATAACTTGACCAAGAGGCCTCCATAAATGGAAAGCATATCGACCTAAAATCACAATTGACAATAACAATTGATTGGTTAAAAAGTGTGCCACTTGATAGCAGACGATTTACAAAGTTAATTTCCAGGGTTAGCAAAGTTGGTTTATGGGTGAAACCAAGGACAAAACCACATTTTAGTCTCATTCAAAACATGTTAAAGGTGAAGAAGCCTTTCAACTTCCCCTGGTATTTATTTGGTCAGCGTGCCGGTGAACTGCCAGCGGTTGTGGTTCAACTGTGAAGCAACACACTGCAAGTCAGCAGCACTCAATGAAATGAACACATAATACCTCCGAACATCCAGCATTCAATAAAAGCGCTGTGAAAGGCTGTTAAGTGGCTCGTTTAACGCAACCGAATTGTAGCTGAAGATTGTAAAAAAACATTAAAGTAATACTTTATGTGAATATTTCTGAATTTATATTTCATCAGATTCTGAAACATATTGTTGAGAGGAAAACTTTATTTTGCTTTTCCGCAAAAAAAAAAAAAAAGACTCCCTCCACTGTAATCTAAAGCCCTGCCTTTGAGCAGTGCAGACCACACACCGCCTCAGCTTTTGGCAGGAGCGCTGCCCCCTTGGTGTACTGAAATGGGAATTAGCCCCCTTCCTCAAAGCGACCACAAGTGCTATTCCATCCTGACCTCACACAGCTATGGGTGGAAGACTTGGCGACTAGCAATGATTAACTACAACGCAGGAGTAGGGAGGACTGGAGAGACACCTGCCAGAAAAGCATCAAATGTAAACAGCCTGATGACAAAGATGCTTGAATTATTTGGCCCTTTAAAAACTCTTTGATTCCTTTAATGTCAAAGGCCATTTCGACCTCATTAACCAGGGGTGAGCTTCATCTGGGGGCTTGAACAAACACTCACAGTAAGAGCGGCTAAACCATGTGCCTCATCAACATCGCCATCATCTCGAGTGCATCATAAATATCTGTGTGCAGCTTTAGCATACGCGAGGAAAGTTTAGCTAAATATTTTAAGAGGACAAAAGAGGAAAAAACTTTTATTACATTATACAATGGCTACTCTTTCCCGCTGTGAACCACAACATGAGGGATTTTAGCTTGCAAACATCTAGCCTAGAAACATACTCTGTGCCAGAACGCAAACACAAAATCTTCGCCAACATGGCATTCCAGGAGCGCAGATATTTAGTCCAACAGCACTGGGACTTTTCGCTCTTGGTATCATTTCACTTGTGTGTTTGCGAACTGCAGTCAGGATGTCACTCTGTGTTTTAGCGGTGAAGCGTTTTTAGCACACCGATTAATTCAGTATTTAAACAAATGGTCTTTATGAGCAAGTCATTGAACTTAACTTGTTTACTCAATAACACAGATCCAATCATGAAAAAAACTCATATTCATAAAAACTCAAGATTCATATTAAAATGGTGTATTTTTTTTTCATTTTAAATGGAAATAAAGATTTTTTTCTATTTTGTATATGCACAGGAATTTGTTCCTTTTTAAATTGGAACTACGAGTTATGGGCACGACATATTGGGGGAAATCACCAGCTGAAAAGCAAGAAAAAGGGCCAATTAATGCAAATGAGTTGGCAAGTGCAGCTCCTTAGATGCGGCTAATAATAATCAGCGGAGTATAGCTTTACATTTGGACTTTTCACTTCAGAAGCCTAAGGCGACTACACAGCCACTTCTGCCCAGCAAGCCCTTGTCACGTATGGTACCAATTGCAATCGCTGGCCAAGTTGTGCGAGGGTGGTTCTTCCCAAGGCTTTATGCATGTGCTCTGCATGGTGACCAACTTTGCTCTCATGACCACCAAGTCAGCCACCCGTGCCCTGGGGAAGACATGATGGCCAAACTAGTTGTCCAGAAACTCCACCTCTGGCTTACTCTGGCAGATACAATGTCAACAAAGAAAATTTTTTGGACAATCCTCCATCTCAGACAAGCCTATTCCAGCCCTTTCAATTGGTGCACTGTGTTTTTATGTGGACCACACTCAGAGCATAAGATCCTCTGAGCAGTTCTTTATCTGTTAAGGTAGTCTGCCGAAGAAAAGTGCCATATCAAATAAGAGGTTGGCCCACTGGATAGCAGACGCCATGGCCCGTGCATATCATAGCCATCATAGTCCCGTGGGAGTGAGAGCACACTCAACAAGGAGTGTTGCCTCCTCTTAGACATCAATACATGGTGCCTCTCTAACAAACATCTGCAGAGCTGCTGGCTGGGCTAGGATTTTACAGTCTTAAAGTAGAACAGGTTTCCTCCCATTTCCTAGGTGGTTCCAGCCAATCAGAAGGAAACTAAGCTTGGTATTGAAAAATGCTTGCTGCACCATTCACCCTAACCCAGAGATGTGTGTGCTTAAATTGCTCTTCTAAGCAAGTTTCTCATCTGGCGAATCTTAGAGAGTTCCTTCGAGGTCCCCAACACCCGGTTGGCCTGCCGTACCTCTAAAATCACTAGCCCACAGTTAGCTAGGTAAAAGGCTTGTACAACCCCAATTCTGGTAATTAAGGACCTGGGGACATTAGAAAATGGTGACTTTGATCATGTTGTTTGCTTGGCAAACATCTCAGCAAACACATGGCTAGGCATGGGCCAATATGAGATTCTGACGTTATGATAACCTTAGATAAAAATATTACAGTTGAACGGTATCACGCTAATGGGATTAATGCTCTAAAATATGTTGTTTTAAATGTCTGGATAAAATAAAACAACATTTTTACCCATTGAGCACAATATATATATATATATATATATATATATATATATATATATATATATATATATATATATATATATATATATATATATATATATATATATATATATATTTATTTATTTTAAGAAACATTTAAAATATGTTGGAACAGTGGCTTTTGATTTGGTTTCCTTTTCAGCTAGATATACTGTTGCCCTAAAAAAAAAAAAAAAAAAAAAAAAAACGTGTCAATTAAAAAACAAATATATACCATAGGAAAGATATAACAAGGTTTTGGCAGTTTTAAAACCTTGACTTTTCCAAACTGTTGTAAACCTTGAAAACAGTTACCGTCCCATGCCTACCCATGGCAGATTCAGGTATTGTGGTGCTTTATATACACTACCCAATATTTTGTGCCGACAAAAATCCTAGTTCCCAACCTGACAAAGAATGTATTGATTACTGCCCTAATGGTCACTCCTCGAAGGTGGGAAAGGAGACATTTCATCTTGTTGCCACAGTGGCTGGATCACCAGTCAAGAACTGGAAGCTTCAGCATTAAAGCCTGGCTTGCTCCAGGTGCAGGTTAAATACTCAGCTGATTACAATCAGCTACACCTCTGAGGAGCTGCACTTGCCAACTTATAGGCATTCATTGACACTTTTTCTTACTATTCAGAGCGATCGATCATCTGGCAATTCTCCCATTATATTGTGCCGAAGAAACACCTCTGTTCCCTCATTCAGGGAACGAGGGTTACAAAACCGAGACATTTTTCCCTTATTTCTAATTCTCATAAATAAGTTAGTGAATCTGGGAATTAGGGCTGCAGGATAAATCAAAAAAAGATCACAATCTCAATTCGACCGCACACGCGATCCTAATTCAGCTTTTTCTAGGATTCAGCCAATTATATTTTCAAGGTCAGGAGAGAAGAAAAGGCGGCTGCAGAAGTCTTCACAGCAACATTGACACCTTCAAATGGCATAAAAAGTGTCACATACTGTATTTATAAAGTATAATTCATCCAAAATGTCATTTCTGTGTTCATGTAATGATGTATTCACGGTCGCAAAATCGCACGTGAGCTGACACTGTTTATTTTCTGCCGAGAACGCGCGCTTGCATGCAAATGACGCTTACTTTAGTAAACACAACCTACATATGCTGTGAATAACAGGTAATGAAGTTGTAAATAACATTTAGTTTGTTGCACAGAGCGATCGTTTGAGGGCTGTGCGGGAGGTTTGATTTGCATGTGTTTTTTTTTCTCGCAGAAACAGCAGCCATGAGATGCACTAGGAAGTGAAAGTAAAACCTGTGCCCACATCATTTAAATGATCATATGGCATTTTAGAGTTATGATTACGACAAGCATTTAATATGTATTTTCTTTCATAGCGAACACAAAGAGTTGTGCATGAAAATAAATGTTTACCGTGTCAATATAACAACCCTAGCCTATATAATGGAAATATAATGGTCTAATAATGTTGTCAATGACAGATGACAAGCACATGTCTGAAATATAATAATTCAATTTTATAATTATGAATAGTTGTATTCTAAAGTCATCATTTTACTGTGAACTAACAAACAGGACACACTGAAAGTCTGTTCAAGTCCACCATAATACAACATTTTGCATTTTAAGCAACAGCTACACATAGGCCTGCTATTAATGTTGTTTACCATATGTTTGAGAATTAACAATAATAATAGGCTAATTATATTAACCTTTATTTTACATTTACAGAATCGTGAGAAAGAATTGTGATCTTGATTTTAAGGAAAAAAAATTGATATTCACATTTTTGCCAGAATTGTGCAGCCCTACTGGGTATTCAAAAATGATCAAGGTTATGTATTGACCTAAAAACTGCATAAACCATATACATATAAACAAAGACTATTGAATATGTCACACATTGTACATTAAAGAAATACATTGGATACACATCACTCCTATAGTTTTGACTAAGGAAAAGTAAAACAGTCAATATGGTGGCCCCACCTTCTAGTACAGTAGCCAATAATCGATCGCTATGGAGAGACGATTCTCTGGGAAACAGGCTCGTACCAGATGTGCATTTTTACAATGGTTTCTACAGTTATTATGAACCCTCTGGGGTCTCCTAATGCACTGGAGTCTCACTAAATATTTGCTTCACAGGCATGAGAAAGATATTCATATAAAGATTGAAATCTTTTAAATAAACCAACTACACCAAGGATTGGCATCTTCGGTCTTGAAGGGATGGTGTCCTGCAGAGATTAGCTCTAACATGAATCAAATACACCTGAACAAGCTAATCAGTCTCTTCAAGATCAATTGAAAACTACAGGCAGTTGTGTTTGATTAGGGATGTAAATACACTTTGTAGGAAACCAGCCCTCTATGACCAAAGTGGCCCATCCCTGGTGCAGTTGGTTCATTTGAAGGTAGATAATTCAATGGCTTACGTACCTACAAGTGCTTAAGTTGAGGTACACTTCTCGGTCAAAATCTGTCTCTTGTTTATCACTAGAACTGCTAGAATTTATAATTGTACTGTTTCATTCAGAGAGTAAGAATATGTGAGCTAATTTGATGTTCTGCTGATAGACTGGAACAACTTATGTCTTGCTAATTCTTTTAGTATTAAAAGTGTTTAATACTGTGTTGCAGCACAGTACTGCAACACAGTTCAACTAATAAACTGCTGTCTCTATAATGACAATACTGTGTATACTACCTATTTTGTCACATAGCTAATGCTGTCAACAGGTTAAAAATACCTCCAGGCAATAACATACAGGAAATTCAGACTACCCTGGAGTAATCTGAGGTTAAGCACTACCTCAAAAGCACAATGGTGATCCATCATCAGTTTGAACCAGTTAACCTTTGGTTCCCGGCCCAGAGCTTTAACCACTAGGCTTTAACCACTAACACGTATTGTATGAATGCATGTTGCTTCGTCACGTAAATGCGCAACATGTGGTTTAAAGAGACAGGAATCTCCAAAACTGATACAAAGCAAGTTGTGCTCACCTGCAAAACCTGCTGCAGCAACCCCTAACCCCACTGCCATCAGAGCGCCACCCTGAAACACATATATAAAACCTTTCATCAGTCATATTACAAAGGACTAGCAGTTTCCGAAAAGTGCTTTAAGTGTTATCATATAATTATGTTGGCTAGACATGACACATAAGGTTTTTCCCACAGCAGACGATCAAAAATGCAAAAACATCCATAGACTACACTTTCAATGGAGAGCACGCAAGCTGACTCTTTTGTTTTTTCAATAACGCCATAACAAAATCCAAAAAAATTCTGTGACTCTTCTGTTGCTGATTAATTGAATTAATGAATGAGTCTTCATGAATCATCATGACATAAGACAGGAATCCAAGATGCAAATATCAGTCAAACTTAAAGTTCCAACCCTTCTTCAACACACCTATCTGTAGGTTTCAAACAAGCCCAAAGCACTCAATTAGTTTGGTTGGGTGTGTTTAATTAGGGTTAAAACTAAACTCTGCAGAGCCGCAACCCTCCAGGAAATGAGTTTGAGTGTTGATTTTATATATATATATATATATATATATATATATTTTTATATTCTGTATTTCTTAAGATTCTATTAAAATAAACAGGTAAATAATATTTTTTTAACTAATTCAATCTGAAAAAACGATTCAAGGTCTTTAAATCACTATAAATAAGTGAAAAACTTATATTCATATCAAAAAGATATTCTGACTCTGACTGGTTATTGTCTGACTCCCATTATAAGTATTTACTTTCAACTTTTCAGTTCAACTTTGGGCCACTCTAGCCAATAGCAGAACAGTAACAACTGGGGGGTTGGGATAAAGATAGTAAGGTCCATCTAATTGGTCAAATTTCAATAAGCAACCATTGCACAAGGCTTTGACACAAGGTTAAGTGTATGTTGTTAAAATATTATTTTATGAATGTAATTACTTAGCGAATAGGTCTCAAACTCAATTCCTAGAGGGCCGCAGCCCTGCACAGTTTTGCTCTAACTTTAAACAAACACAGCTGATTAGGCTTGGGCGGTATTACAGTATTATGGTATACCGCGGGTATAAAAATAGCAACGTGTCTGTTTCAATACCGTTATACCGTCATAAAATATTCTTTATTTAATGCCTACAAAAACGTATGTGTGGTTGTCATCATAGGACAGTGGAGGAGAGAGAGAGAGAGGGAGGAGGAGAGAGGGAGAGGGGGAGGGGTAGAGGGAGAGGTGATGTGACGTGACGAGTTGCACTCCAAAGTGTCCTGCAGTTTGGCAGTATTTCCGGTTTCGACTGAACAGAAGGGGAGACGTGGTTAATATGAACGAGAGGTCTGCATTAGAGCTGAAGATCTTTACCCGAACCCAGCGAGACCCGAAAAAATCCAAATCCCTGCATTAAAATCCATCCCTGCAAAGGTGAAACAAATGATGTAGAAGTAGTAAAAAAAAGCGAATTTTGATGGAAGTCAAGCCAGTCACTAGTTTAGAAGGAAGAGTCATTCCAGCCAGGTATTTCGGTGGTCGCTCATACACTGCGTATTACGGTAGAGCCCTAAACCGCAGCTGACAGGTAAAAAGACGAGGCCACTCGCTACACTGAAACTGCTGTCATGGAAAATTAAATGGATGTTCCTGACTGGTAGAAGATGAACAAACAATCCTACCCAAAACTTGCAAAATCAGCCGGATCAGAACTCTGCATCTCGACCTGTAGCAGCAGGAAAGGGTGTTCAGTTCTGCTGGACGCACCATGAGTGCAACAGCGCTAAAGCCAGTGGATTTAATAATGCTCCTCCACAAACAAACACACGTAGCCTTATCTTGGTGAGTAAAGGGTTTTTAAATTATAAATAAATATTAATTAAACCATATAATCATAATGTAGACAGAGTATACAGGCTAATAGTGGCATTATTCTTTTAATATTCAGCTTCACCGCCGCCTTAATGCCAGATTGTGAAGAGAAGTGGCGAAACAAATCTTGCAGAGCCTTTATCTTAATTTCTTATTGCCAAAATACCCGTCATCATTTAGAGTTTATTTTAATTTGATTTGTTAAGCAAGATTTCTTTTCATTGGTGTGTTGGCCAATTTAAAGGCTAAGTGTATGTGCCTAGACCTATTAAGATTGTTGAGATGTTACGATGTTACAGAGGACTTATTTTATTTCTTTGTTCCAACTTTCAAGTGGCATATAGTCTACGTTGGTTACGAATAATTTATGTTAAAACATATAAATGACGCATTCTTGAAAAAATGCATTAGAGCTGTGTGCATGAGCACATTTGAATAATGTCGGGCTGTAAACGGGTTCGGGCTTTATAAAGCTGTCAATCAAAATGTACCTGTCGGACTCGGGACCTATCGGGCCTAATTTTTTTGGCTTTTATCTGGTTTCTTCCCTTGTTTTGCTTACGAGGTCATTCCTAATTCCAAGGGCGTAGGTTTGCGCTTGACATTGGTGGGGACTGGGGACGAGTCACCCCTGCCAAGAATGAATATTGTTTATATATATATATATATATATATATATATATATATATATATATATATATATATATATATATATATATATATATATATATATATATATATATATATATATATATATATATATATATATACATACACATATATACATATATATATATATATACATATACATATATATATACATATACATATACATATATATATATATATATATATATATATATATATATATATATATATATACATTGCTATTTATTATTTAACTGCTATTAAAATGTATTATTAAGTAATTCTCTCTTGTTAAAATTTATTAAGTTAAATTAAATAGTCATGCGTGTAGCCAAGGGGGGTCAGGTGGTTTGAAAGACCAAAAGTTGGATTATTATTATTATGTTTGAATTTATCTTATTATTCAAATGGACAAATTTTTACTGAGGAAGGTTGAATGTGCCGGCCAGTTCGTTATTTGCCTATAGGCTTTAGTTTTTAATTTAAATCAAGTTTTAACAGATTTCCCAAAGAAAATTATGATAAAAAAATTGTATTTTAAAAATAAGTATATTTACATATTTAAAGAGTATAGATGCAAAAACCTCTGAATGCCATTTAATATTTTCTTCTAAAATTAGCATTTTTCTCCTGTGTGTGGACTCAGTGATTTTACTTTTATAGTGAAAAATACGTTCTTTTCATTGTCTTTAAAGTGAAATAACTGAACATAAATATACAAGGCTGAGAAAAATGCTCATATTACATGGCATTTAGAGGTTTTGGTATCTGTACTGTACTTCATTTCTTTATTCTAAGAATTTAAAGTCCCAATTTCTAGTTCAAATTATTTTTATTCTTTATACAACTGTAATAAAACCTACAGTTTAAATGTGTAAATAAAGCAATTTGACAAAATGGTAGGACATAGTTTTGGTACATCAAAACGTGTAGTTGTAATAACTATCCAACAAGATTATCCAGCTAAAATTTGTTCTTAATATGTCACTAAAATGTATTATTAATACCTCAATTGAACAGAAAATCAGGTGAATAACTGCAAAAAGGTTCAGTTTTTCAGAAAACAAATAACCCCTTTCAATAAGCTGGCTGCAGGCCTAAAAGTGTTATGTTAAAATAATGTTTATTAACTGATAAAGAGACAGTTTAATAAAGACTTTCGTTCATTTTTCTTACAAATTAAACATGTCTCATAGTATTATTAAAAGATGGAGCATAGGCTGTAGTTTTTCTGACAAATTGTTTCAACCAAAATTGGAGATGTTACTCTAAGAGATTAAGAGCACAAGCAGGGTCATATGTTTACATGTAGGTGTTTATTCTGCTGTTAGTTTTCAGGGAATATTGTTTACAGACTAGTCTGCTTTAACGTTAGACTGAACGTAAAAGCGGTGAAAACACTAGCATAACGGCATTATCATGATGGACTCATTCAGTAGCGAGTTTATGTGACTTACACTTTTCGTTGGAAAAAGCTCTTTATGTCCACCTCTTCTTGCTACCTCCATCCTCACTTGTGCGAGGCACACACCTCACACATCGGGAAATTCCCCCCACGCAGTTGTTTTGGCGCTGTTTGTATCTGAAACTATGTTCTGAAAGCAGCCACTCACATTTCAGCAGGGAAAGGCACAGCCAATCACAATGTTCAAATGTGTTTGGGGGCGGTGCGACTCGAGGAGAGAATGTGATTTAACCCTTTTGGCATGTTTAGGTTTATACTGACAGCGCGATGTTTTTAAGTGAATTAAATTATTGGTGGGGACATTTCGGTAGTTTGTGGATATTGGTGGGGACACGTCTACGCCCCTGCCTAATTCAGCCTATATCATACTGCGTAAGTTGTCTCTCCACTCTGACCCATGCCCCTTACAAACCATACCATGTTTGCACCAGGTGTTTCAGCCGTTTTGACCCACGCCCCCTACACACCATTTATCAAACAACCTTTCATGATAACAGCATAGGATGAAGGAAAAAGACAGAGTAGTCACACATAGGAAAGTTAAGCAATATAAATAATGCATATAAATCTGAAAGATGAATATAAATGAATTTCCATTACATGATGTACTGTAATTACCTGTGTTTATTTATAATATTGTATATAAATAGCTACTAATATTTGTTTGCTTGTTTTTTAGAGTAATGACAAAAATGTTTACAGTACTTTCCCACAAAAGAGCAGCAATTTATGGGTGCCATACAGCAGGTATTTTTTAGCATGTTATTTGTGTAGTAATATTATTAGGCAATATTACTAATCTCTACACTTTTGTTGCATTAGACCTCACATTAAATCAGGGATGAGACAAGAAAAGTCATCCTCTGTTGCTGGTGTACTTGTATGGAAAAGAGGAAGGGCTCATCCAGGAGTGCAATGTAAGTGTCTTAAACCGTTTTAGATATTTATGGTTTTCAAAAAAAACTGCATTTTATATTTTTGCACTTTTACAAAAAAAAAAAATAATATATATATATATATATATATATATATATATATATATATATATATATATATATATATATATATATATATATATATATATATA